CCATACGACGCGTCACCACACAGACCGCTTCAAACACAGATGAGTAGTGCCACATTGGTCGAATGGCGAAGGAAATTATCGAAAATTGCTTCCACCAATCAGAAGCACTACCAGTTATGGAATTTCTGTACCCGTTCCTCAGATGTCATTTCGCGGGGAAACCAGTGTTGAGGCATTTTAAGACTTGGTTGGTGCTGTGTCGAACTGTTTTATGGGGACGTTAACGCCTTTTTTTTGGGCTATTATATAACAAAACAAGGTAGCACGACGGGGACCGGGATGAAAATGCGTCATCAAAAAACAGCCCCATAGTGCAGTTCGACAAAACGCGGACTCAGTCTCACGCGCAACTAAAAGAAACTACGGGATTGAATCACAGGCAACCCAAGCTCCAAATACGACCATAGGCATTGTTGCACAATGTTCGAAATATAAGGATTTGTAAGGGGGAAAACACGATTGTTTCTGTAACCGGTTCCAGTAAAACCCATTAAATAGCCACAAATCCACTGTAAATCGGAAAAGAAAATCAGCTTAAATCGAACGAAAGATATCAATCGGCCGGTCAAACTCATTCTAACACAACATACAAATTTTTCAGCGAAAAAACACCAAAACAATAAACTACAGTCTACAAGCTTAAAAGGAGACCACCACTTACCTAGTGTACAATTTTGAATGCCTGTCACGTCCAGTTGCCGATAGATAAAGTGACGTTCCTCAAGCAAGTTCCCTCCTCTTCCGCCGCTATTCCAAAATAATTTCCACGGTTATCCTGAAGGCACTACAATTCCAAACTTTTGTTACTTTATCTATTTTTTGTCGGGTTTATTAACCAAACACGCTTTTAGAAAACAATACATCAACCAGCAACAGTCGAAATACAATACTCCGGGAATATGCTCGAAAAAACTCGAAAATTCAAGCGGTGTTCGCATTTTAAGCATTGCATCGAAAACGTTGTCCTCCACTTCCTTGACAATTTGTTACACGAGGGGCTGCACAGCTATTCTTTAAAAGCCTGACGCCCGCGCTGGCTACGACAAGAAGGATACCCGTCTCTTCCCCAAAGGCGCGCCTGTTGGGTATTCCAGTAAAAAAATCAATAATCAAAAATAGGAGGCTTGAAACATCTCTTCTTCTCTTTCCCCTTCCCATCGTCCCTCATGCGCTTTCTTTTTTTCCCTCTCCACTTCCCATGACACAAAGAGGCCCCAGTGGAGGAGAGAGGAGGTAGAGTATTCCCCTCAAGGGCAAAGTCACACTCAGCCGGGTGTCTGCCCGGGGATGGGTGGGGAAGGGCAGCTTCAAACATTTCCGTGGCGCAGCGTATAGACCTCGATCAATTTTGTTAGACAAAAAAGGAGCAAAATAACCATAAGGCAACTAATTCATAAAAACACGACTCATTTGCTTTTAAGATTAAGTTTAATACAAGGAAACCTAAAATCACACTTTCATTTAACTTACCGGATTGTATAGCAGAGTTGAGCAAGACAAAGTAAAAAAAACCCAGATACTTCTGGGAAATTCGATGTAAAAAAATCAAAATTCAAGAAGCATGTACATGTGCGACACATGTGAGTGCCCAAATGTACATTTTTTACTAAGGGATATGGAAGCTTGGCGTTAAGCTCCAAAAAAACAAGCTAGTTAAATACTACACAAGGGTACTATCTTTCTTTCTACTATAAAATGTACCCTGCATTCACGTTTTGCTAGAAAACTACCAATTGTTATTTGCTGAATAAAACTTTATCTCCACTTTCTCTTTCTGTAATGGTTTTCAGAAAGTCTTCACCGAAGAAAACTAGATACCTCCTGCTTTAACTACTTGTTCTAAAATATTCTTATTCACACATACAAGATTGCCTAATAATGTTTCCTTACATTCCTAATACTTCTATCTGCTAATAATTTAATAAACCCAAAACACACCTAATAATAATATTATTGCACTGTAGTAACTGTCATTATTATTATTATTATTATTATTATTATTATTATTATTATTTCCTCAAAAAGGAACTCATTGATTACTTATTTACACTATATCAGCTGGAGAAAAAAGCTGACATTTTGCGGTGTCAGTAAAATGCTGATGGAAGCTGAGTCAGGATCAGGCTTATTTTCCACGTATTGAGAAAGTCAAGTTTGCCACATGGCACACAGAAAGCCTCGTTCATCACTAATGGTTTGCAGCAGAACCAGAGAGGGTGCCATCAAAGGTCAGTTGTTTTCCCCGGCTAAAGCTATAAGAGGAATTACACTTTTGCCGAAAGTTCTACCTTAATATACACACACCCTTCACTCAAAGCAAGACTAGATTACCACAGTGGGCCAAAAACAGAGTTGTTCACTAAAACTAAATCAATATTACTGTAGCACCTGGTATCTTCCTTTGCAATATAAAGGTATTGAAAAAAGTAAAAAGTAAGATGGCATTGTCTGTCTATTCTGCCATTTTTGGAGCGGAATCGCAGACGTCTCTCATAGCGGGGAGAAGAGGGGGGGGGGAGGGGTGGGAAGGTGGCTGTATTCTCAGGCTATCTACTTCCATAAGCTAAAAGTCAGACATTCTATTATCTACATATCATTTGGTTACCAGCTCTCCTAGTCTCTTAACATGTACTCTAGGTATACTGTTCTGTCTTATGCCAAGGATTTCATTGTCTGTCTATTCTGCCATTTCACTGTTTGCACTGTGCAGCTTATCTGTCTGTTCTCATGGCTACAATACCTGGATTAAAAGCATACAACGTTAGTACAATAAAACCTGTCTCCTTGCTAGAGAAGTGTGATAGGTTTGTCCCATACTTTTGATGAAAAACATCTAGTGGAAAATAATGTTGACAAGGTACTTCTACTTTCAAGGCATAGGACTGCCCAGCAACCTCCTAAAAAAATAGAGAGGTTTTGTTCTACTGTGTACTGTAGGGAACCCAAAGAGAACCTATGTAATCCAGGGTAAGAGCATTATTATGCTTTGTGCATTGATACGTGAAACCCAAAGGGCAAACATCACTTGCTAGGAGCCAGAACTGGTCTGCATTAGAGCACAGCCAAGAAAAGGGGACCTTTAACCATACCATCACTCTTCATATGGGCAAGGTAAAAAAGTTAAAGACACAAAAAAAACCCAAAGGCCTAAAAAGCCAGAGCTTATCCTGGTTTCTTTAGCATGAAGCATGCCTAGGAATATTGCTACGTCCCCTAAGATGGGATGCTAGTCCACCGCAAGGTTACCCCCCAGAAGTACATGTATGTTGCCGGTACCCATTTATACATCAGCTGGGTGAAGAGAGACAAAGTGAAGTAAAGTTGCTTGTCTAAGGAAACAACACAATGGGCGAGGCTTGAACCCTGGGCCTCCAGATCTGGAGTTCGAGGTCTGGATCACTCAGCCACACACACCTCCACTTGTAAGAAGCACCCATTCAAAATCATTTTAGATCCAAAAAAGCAGAAAGAACATAATATGAGGATGGACTAAAGGATATTAATTTGCACTTATTGTCTACATGAACATCAGTAAAAAATGGAGAGTAAACAGTCATGAATGGTTTCTATAGTCAACAAAAGGAATGATTAAAGGTTGCATTTTTGAGTCTCTAATTCAAACAGTTCCTGACAAAACAAAAAAGACCTCTGGTGTAAAAAGCCACATTGTAGCTAAAAATGTTGAGACCTGCCTGACCTCCAAATTACTGATCATGCAACCACATCATGAGTTGAAATATTATTATTCTGTTCTGAAAACCGCACAGAACAGAACAAAACTTTAACTTCCATTGATGGTAGTCATTCTCAACTAACTGCCAAGACAGCCCTCTGTAAGGCTTCATGTGCACATTATCAAGTTTGTAAACTATCACGAATTATCCAAGAGTCTCCTGAAAATCCCACAAATCTTCCGTTCTCCCAAACAGGTCACTAAATCTCCCAGATAAAACCATAATTTTGAGCTTTTACGTGCTTTAACTTGGAATTTAACCCATTTTTTCAAATATTCAAAAAGTTTTCTTCAAACGTAGTATGGTTTCCGTGGCTTCTTTGCATGTACTCATCACAGACAATACTATTTTGTACAAAAAGCAATTTTTGATGATCTGTACTTTGTGTGTGACTGTACACATGCATTTTACTCAGTAAATGTTAATTTTTTGTTTTCCTGAAATAAAAAATCCACATGTGTAAGTAATTCCAGCATGCTAAGAATACTTAAAAATAAAATATTATTCACCCTTTCACTTCAATCTATGGTGATCTCATTTGCCATAATTTTTTCTAACTTTTGAATTTGTGGTTAAATCCCTATAGTGTTGCCACTAAAGTGAAATCTCTTTGGTAGAAGTTTAGCGTAGTACTATCAATTTCTTAGGAAAAAAATGGAATTTTTTTCAAAAGGATTAACAAATATATTTCAGACTGTACATAACACAACAACAATATTACTTAAACCACTACAGAATATGCACACATTGGGCAAACTGCAAAGAATTTGTGGATAGAAAGGACAAACCAAAATCAAAATCATTATAATTATGGAGATCATTGCAGTTGTAGATGTAACTTTTGCAGTTGCGAAAAGAAAGCCTGAAAAAATTCAACCTTGTACGGGGTTCGAAACCTTGACCTCTGTGATACTGGTGCAGCTCTCTACTAATTGAGCTAACAAGCCAACTGGGAACAGGTTTAAATCAAAATCATTATAATGTTAACTTTGAACTGAGGCTACATTGCATCGACACCAAGCAGATTAAAAATTAGAGGATAAGGAGTGAAATAATCTGAAAATTTCAGGCAAACATTTTCTGATTGAACTCATGCATGTTTGCTTTTCAGTTAATTCCTTTTAACTATCTGCATGAATAAAAGTTCATATACATGTAGTCGTGGGGCTTAAAACAAATAAGATGAATATACATGCACCAGACTCTGAAATGACCAGGTAAAAAAATAATCAAGTAAAGGACTTACCTTGATATCAAAATTTAGGATCAATAAGGTCTGTAACCTCGATTATTTTTGTCAACTCCACTGGCACCACGATTATTGATGCGACTCGTTGGACCATAACTGGAATTCACCTGACTGTAGTTCCCTATCTGGTAATCAGCTGATGCTCCCCCAGCCCCAGCCCCTAAACTACCACCTCCAACTCCCCCAGGAAACTGACTCCAGTCACCCATACCCCCAGGAAAACCACCAAAACCACCCGGAAAATTTCCATGGCCATATGCAGCAGCCAAAGGGTTGCTCATGCTGTCGTACCCACCACCAGAGCTTCCGCCTGGAACAGACATTCCACCTGTAGGATTGCGGTCACCAACAGAAGATCCTTTCAGGTCAGCCATGCCATACGGACTGTCACCAAAGTTTTCTTTTTCATAACTACTGGAACTACTATGACTGCGCCCTCCTCCACCATAACCACCTCCACCAAGTGAAGCAAAGCCACTGCCACCTACAGAGCCGCCAACGCCACCACCAGCTCCACCTCCACCAAAACTACCTGGGCCAAAGCCTCCAAACCCACCAAAGAAACCTGGATTAAAGCCACCAAAGCCCATGCCACTGAATCCAAAACCAGAGCCCATTCCCATTGACGCGGGGTTAAAGTTAGCAAAGGCAGCAGGGTTGAATCCACCACTAAGAAGAGCTGCTGCGGCTGCTTGGCTGTTGAAGCCACCCATACCCATACCCAAGCCGCCCATACCCATACCCATGCTGTTGCCACCACCTCCACCCATACTGCTTCCACCTCCAAAACTGCCACTCCCTCCCCCACCACCAAAGTTTCCTGAAAGAAGAAAGAAACATTTATTATTAAGAACAACTCTTCATAAAATAATGTAACTCTTTTGCAGATGTTCTTTCCTCCTTAAGATTATCACTATGAAATGGAACCTGCCATGAGATTTTTGTCAAACTGACCACTTATAAATACACCCAGAAGGAGTGAGGTGATATGTAAGTATCTTAGCCCAACAACACAACTCAGTGACCCAGACATCAGGGCTTGAACCTGAACCTTTTCATACAGAGTCCAGTACACTAACCAGTAGACCACCATACATCTAACTCAAGTCATTGACAACAAAGGAGAATTTAAATTTTTTTCACAATCAGTGCTTTACACAAGTTTCAGTAGTTTACATACACATGTATATACAGTCGACTCTCTCTTAATGGACACCTCTATGAGATGGACACCTTTGTAAAATGGACACCTAGATTTGATCCCAGCCTTTCTTTACTCCCTTTATTTGACTCTCTATGAGACAGACACCTCTATAAGACAGACACCTAGAGTTGGTCTCTGCCTTTCTTTACTCCCTTTATTTGGTTTTCTATAAGATGGATATCTCTATACGAAGATGGACATCTCTATACGACAAACACTTAGTACTGGTCCTAAAGGTTTTTGTCTTCGAGAGAGTTGACAGTAGTCTCACCTCTTCCACCTGAATTCCCAAATCCTTGATTCATTCCACCAAATCCAGCACCCAGACCCCAGTTCATGGGAAAACCTGTAAAAATTAAAAATGTTTCCATTATAGAGTCCATACAGCAACATATCTTCAGAAATTATGGAGGCTTTGTTTTGGCTGCCCCATCTAACATTTCTTGCACCATTACGCCCAGCCAGCGGAGCTTTTCTTTCATTTTGCTCGATTTTGGCGTACTTGAGAAAGACTCTGCATGAATCAAGTAACATCTTTGTTGAGTGCACGCTGCATGATGTTAGGATACAGTCTCAAACTCAAGCAAAATATTAATAATAATAATAATAATAATAATAATAATAATAATAGAAGAAGAAATTTTATTAACAACAATGCTAACTATTAAAATCCTATTTACAATTAATTCGCTTAAAAAAAAAAAAGGAAAAACTATTCATTCAAAAACACTATTTACAATTCCTGTCGAATTAAAAAGCACTTAATTTAGCTTAAAAAAAATTAATGTAACGAAGAAAAATTTTTTCGAATTAAAAACATTTCATTTCAATAATAAAAAAAAACTGTCAACCTCTAAAATTCAAAAGTTTCTTTCAACTGCTAAAAACAAAAAAATAGTAATAATAATAATGAAATAAAAAGATATACATAAAGTAAGGAAACACATCAATAGTCCGATTTAATGGCTCCTTCAACAACTTCGATGTCGATATCAACATTCTTAATGTCACATAGCACTCTTCTTGTCCTAGAGCCTCGAAGACAAACCAACGCAGATCTCAAGAGTGCGAATGAGGTTCTCGTTCTGATCCATGAGATAGTTTTGGCATACTGCTCCCCTTTTTTGATGGCAATCAGCTGTGCTAAACGGCTATGATACTTCAAGCACTCCTTTCCCATTCCGCCAGTTGTGGTGAAGACCAAAGGTGTAAATAAATAATAATAATAATAATAATAATAATAATAATAATAATAATGATTTGGAGGTAGCACATCCACAAAGTGGTTCTTTGTCCACCCTATTCCTGATCTAATTGGTTCATCAATAAATGGATGATCGCTACAATGCTGCAGCTGTAATGCCAATTTTACGTGGACAAATATCAGCTAGCCTGCAATCTTGCTGCCTCTCATCACACTCTACTGCTTGAGAAATGTCCCCAGCAGCATGCAGGGAGTGAGAAGAGGTTGCTGTATCATAGCCCAAATATCACAATGGAGATCACTACCAGGGAGCGATTGCAGAATACCTGGCCCACTAATGTCTTACTTGAAAAACTGCTCCTGCAGTAGTGTTTTATTATGCCGAATACTTCAATCTAAGTGACTAAAATGAGTGTTCCTGCTGCAGTCCCGCACTCCCGCAGTCGATGTTCAGTAACTAGTGTGTTCAAAGAACGACGTATACAACTAGTGCTCCCACAGTCCTGTACTCCCACAGTGGATGTCAAGTAACTAGTTAGTTTATAGAACAAGGTATACTGGTGCTCCTGCAGTCCTGCACTTCCACATTAAATGTGCAGAATTTATTATGCAATTAATCGGACGACTGGAGGACTGTGGGAGCGGTTTTCTAAGTTAGATTTTTAGTGAGCTGGGTATTCTGCAATAAGCCACTGCTAGTTTGCAAGTATGATTTGCAACTGAATGTTCAACAAAGAATGCCCGAGTAAAAGGGTATTTGGGGACACGAGTGACGGAAATTCCAGTACCATTGCATAACATTAGCCGGAAGTAATGAGGGTGGAAGTTGTCAAACTGACTCCATCAGGAACATGCTAGGGTAATGAAGGAACGGGGGTGGGGGGGAAGGAACTTTCCTACCTCCAAAGCTGGGTGTGTCCAGCGATGATCGCGACTCACGAGACCGGCCACTGACCCTGAACTCTTCTTCTTCTTTCTTTCTCATAGCTGCTTGCGATTCAGCTCTTTTCACCTCACACTGCTTCATCTTGATCTGATGCATGGTAATCGAGCAAATTTTATCCACGACCTCTTCGGAGTCAAATGTAACGAAAGCAAAGCCACGGAGTCGGTTGGGGTTTTCTTTATCCCTCTTTAGGTCAACATCGAGAACCTTCCCTACACCAAACTTTGCGCAAAGCTTGCCGAAGTATTCTTCGACATCATTTTCTGTGGCAGTGCTGGCAAGTCCACCCACAAAAATCTTCCGCGTTCGCGAAGTAACTTCTCCTCTAGGAACCGATCGTTTAGGCTCGATCTCCCAATTATCTAGTTCGTGTCGCTTTACTTTTAAACAATCATCCACCGCTTGAGAGCTGTCGAATGTCACAAAACCGAACCCACGCGAAGGTCCGTTCTTCCCTTCTCGCATAATAACACAATCCACGATATTTCCCCATAGAGAAAAATATTCCTTCAAAGATTCTTCGCTTGTCCGACGGTTAAGTCCACCAACAAAAATTTTTCGCAGTTGTTCGGGTTCTGCAGACATGACTTTCAAACTCTTTCTGCCTGAAAAGTTTTCCTGATTATGGAGGACGCCGAGACAGAATGTAGCAAATTTGCTCCGACCACGTGGTTTAAAATGAATAACAATGATCCTCTTCCTTATTTGGAATTGTACAGTAAACAATATGGCGGACATTAGCAAGGACATTATTCCGGCAAAAAAGAGAAGAACGGAGGCATCTACCGATCTCTGCGACAAAGTTCTACAGCTTGAGCAAGATCTATGTTGCAATCTTGACTCACTGAAGTTTTCTACTCCTGTTACACACGTTTATAACCCTTTAAAATATGCTAAAGAAACACACGAAGACTACATGAGAAAGTTCTGTAAAGTTGGACAAAAAGTGCTTTTCTTGGGAATGAATCCAGGTCCTTTTGGGATGGCGCAAAACGGGGTAAGCAAAAAAATAGCCATATGTTCAATGCGTCACTTCTTATCTGTCAAAACTTGACCAGCGGGTTTGGGCTCCTCTGACATTTGGACGTTTGTACTGTGGTGGAGGGAGGGAAAGGTTGCAGTTAAAATATAATAGGGGCAAGGGACTTAAGGGGAGGAATTATACCCTCCTGTAGGGCGAGTGAAAACTTTTGCCAGAATTTAAGGTCAATCATCTTTATTTATAGAATGACACTAATTAAGGAGTTAGCGTCTGAAGATCACCATCCCGCACAAAGCCCCCCTCCCCATCCCCACCAATCCTGAACCTTCTGACTCTAGAAAGGGTTTCATACTATCCTGTTCTAGGCTCTGAGATAGTTGGGTCTGCGAAGTTGAGAAAGCATGAACACAAAAATAAAGCGGGAGGAAACTGGGGAGAGGGAGCTCTACCTTTTTTCCTGCCACCGCCCCTTTAATTTTTCCAGATTACACGCTCTTGTTTTCGTGTGCCTTTCACTTATGTGTCATCCATACTATCTGAGAGCCTGAAACAGACTAATTTTGTATGAAATAGAAAGCAGACACAAGAATACCATAGTGCAGTACTGTTCTGAGATTATTAATGAAAACAAATTGGAGTAAATTCTTACAATAATGTTATGTGCAACTTCATTCACAGAGCTAGGCCATCATCAAAACCTGGATCAGATCAAACCCTGTAAACCCTTGAATGGTACACCTATAAAAAATAACAGAATACCTGAAACAGGTCCCTGAGCATCTTCGCAAATTTATTCAAAACTATAAAGGCAATTTTTGATGTTTTTTTTTAAAGGATTGAAAAACCATTGATGTCACTAAGGACAAAAGGTTGGGAATAGGATTACATGGGCCAGGGCTGTGCTCTAGCAGAGCCCGGTGGCCCCTGGCGCTAAATCTCAGATTTTTCATACAAATCATATGCTGGGCACCCTAGATTTTGCAGTTTCAGAGTACTGGGCTCCCTTCAATTTTCCTTAGAGCACAGCCTTGTGGGCTGATCATATCCAGGTTTTGTTGACACCAATTCATGTTTCTGTTAAAATAATTATTGCATTATAGTCAACTAATGATGTCATGAACACCAGCCATCAGTGGTGAATCCAAACCTTGAGGACAGAGAGAGGCACTCTTCTGGCTTAAATAAAATGTTTCAGTACAATTCCCTGTAGGCCTTAGATCCCTCCCTCCTCACTGTTTACCAGTGAGTGAAGTCCAGTTTTCTTTGGACAGGTCCCTTTTGGAGACACAAAACATGTCAAAGAGTGGCTCCAAATTGTAGGACAGGTGAATAAACCAGAGAAAGAACACCCCAAGAGACCAATCTCATTCCGCCAGTTGTGGTGAAGACCAAAGGTGTAAATAAATAATAATAATAATAATAATAATAATAATAATAATAATAATGATTTGGAGGTAGCACATCCACAAAGTGGTTCTTTGTCCACCCTATTCCTGATCTAATTGGTTCATCAATAAATGGATGATCGCTACAATGCTGCAGCTGTAATGCCAATTTTACGTGGACAAATATCAGCTAGCCTGCAATCTTGCTGCCTCTCATCACACTCTACTGCTTGAGAAATGTCCCCAGCAGCATGCAGGGAGTGAGAAGAGGTTGCTGTATCATAGCCCAAATATCACAATGGAGATCACTACCAGGGAGCGATTGCAGAATACCTGGCCCACTAATGTCTTACTTGAAAAACTGCTCCTGCAGTAGTGTTTTATTATGCCGAATACTTCAATCTAAGTGACTAAAATGAGTGTTCCTGCTGCAGTCCCGCACTCCCGCAGTCGATGTTCAGTAACTAGTGTGTTCAAAGAACGACGTATACAACTAGTGCTCCCACAGTCCTGTACTCCCACAGTGGATGTCAAGTAACTAGTTAGTTTATAGAACAAGGTATACTGGTGCTCCTGCAGTCCTGCACTTCCACATTAAATGTGCAGAATTTATTATGCAATTAATCGGACGACTGGAGGACTGTGGGAGCGGTTTTCTAAGTTAGATTTTTAGTGAGCTGGGTATTCTGCAATAAGCCACTGCTAGTTTGCAAGTATGATTTGCAACTGAATGTTCAACAAAGAATGCCCGAGTAAAAGGGTATTTGGGGACACGAGTGACGGAAATTCCAGTACCATTGCATAACATTAGCCGGAAGTAATGAGGGTGGAAGTTGTCAAACTGACTCCATCAGGAACATGCTAGGGTAATGAAGGAACGGGGGTGGGGGGGAAGGAACTTTCCTACCTCCAAAGCTGGGTGTGTCCAGCGATGATCGCGACTCACGAGACCGGCCACTGACCCTGAACTCTTCTTCTTCTTTCTTTCTCATAGCTGCTTGCGATTCAGCTCTTTTCACCTCACACTGCTTCATCTTGATCTGATGCATGGTAATCGAGCAAATTTTATCCACGACCTCTTCGGAGTCAAATGTAACGAAAGCAAAGCCACGGAGTCGGTTGGGGTTTTCTTTATCCCTCTTTAGGTCAACATCGAGAACCTTCCCTACACCAAACTTTGCGCAAAGCTTGCCGAAGTATTCTTCGACATCATTTTCTGTGGCAGTGCTGGCAAGTCCACCCACAAAAATCTTCCGCGTTCGCGAAGTAACTTCTCCTCTAGGAACCGATCGTTTAGGCTCGATCTCCCAATTATCTAGTTCGTGTCGCTTTACTTTTAAACAATCATCCACCGCTTGAGAGCTGTCGAATGTCACAAAACCGAACCCACGCGAAGGTCCGTTCTTCCCTTCTCGCATAATAACACAATCCACGATATTTCCCCATAGAGAAAAATATTCCTTCAAAGATTCTTCGCTTGTCCGACGGTTAAGTCCACCAACAAAAATTTTTCGCAGTTGTTCGGGTTCTGCAGACATGACTTTCAAACTCTTTCTGCCTGAAAAGTTTTCCTGATTATGGAGGACGCCGAGACAGAATGTAGCAAATTTGCTCCGACCACGTGGTTTAAAATGAATAACAATGATCCTCTTCCTTATTTGGAATTGTACAGTAAACAATATGGCGGACATTAGCAAGGACATTATTCCGGCAAAAAAGAGAAGAACGGAGGCATCTACCGATCTCTGCGACAAAGTTCTACAGCTTGAGCAAGATCTATGTTGCAATCTTGACTCACTGAAGTTTTCTACTCCTGTTACACACGTTTATAACCCTTTAAAATATGCTAAAGAAACACACGAAGACTACATGAGAAAGTTCTGTAAAGTTGGACAAAAAGTGCTTTTCTTGGGAATGAATCCAGGTCCTTTTGGGATGGCGCAAAACGGGGTAAGCAAAAAAATAGCCATATGTTCAATGCGTCACTTCTTATCTGTCAAAACTTGACCAGCGGGTTTGGGCTCCTCTGACATTTGGACGTTTGTACTGTGGTGGAGGGAGGGAAAGGTTGCAGTTAAAATATAATAGGGGCAAGGGACTTAAGGGGAGGAATTATACCCTCCTGTAGGGCGAGTGAAAACTTTTGCCAGAATTTAAGGTCAATCATCTTTATTTATAGAATGACACTAATTAAGGAGTTAGCGTCTGAAGATCACCATCCCGCACAAAGCCCCCCTCCCCATCCCCACCAATCCTGAACCTTCTGACTCTAGAAAGGGTTTCATACTATCCTGTTCTAGGCTCTGAGATAGTTGGGTCTGCGAAGTTGAGAAAGCATGAACACAAAAATAAAGCGGGAGGAAACTGGGGAGAGGGAGCTCTACCTTTTTTCCTGCCACCGCCCCTTTAATTTTTCCAGATTACACGCTCTTGTTTTCGTGTGCCTTTCACTTATGTGTCATCCATACTATCTGAGAGCCTGAAACAGACTAATTTTGTATGAAATAGAAAGCAGACACAAGAATACCATAGTGCAGTACTGTTCTGAGATTATTAATGAAAACAAATTGGAGTAAATTCTTACAATAATGTTATGTGCAACTTCATTCACAGAGCTAGGCCATCATCAAAACCTGGATCAGATCAAACCCTGTAAACCCTTGAATGGTACACCTATAAAAAATAACAGAATACCTGAAACAGGTCCCTGAGCATCTTCGCAAATTTATTCAAAACTATAAAGGCAATTTTTGATGTTTTTTTTTAAAGGATTGAAAAACCATTGATGTCACTAAGGACAAAAGGTTGGGAATAGGATTACATGGGCCAGGGCTGTGCTCTAGCAGAGCCCGGTGGCCCCTGGCGCTAAATCTCAGATTTTTCATACAAATCATATGCTGGGCACCCTAGATTTTGCAGTTTCAGAGTACTGGGCTCCCTTCAATTTTCCTTAGAGCACAGCCTTGTGGGCTGATCATATCCAGGTTTTGTTGACACCAATTCATGTTTCTGTTAAAATAATTATTGCATTATAGTCAACTAATGATGTCATGAACACCAGCCATCAGTGGTGAATCCAAACCTTGAGGACAGAGAGAGGCACTCTTCTGGCTTAAATAAAATGTTTCAGTACAATTCCCTGTAGGCCTTAGATCCCTCCCTCCTCACTGTTTACCAGTGAGTGAAGTCCAGTTTTCTTTGGACAGGTCCCTTTTGGAGACACAAAACATGTCAAAGAGTGGCTCCAAATTGTAGGACAGGTGAATAAACCAGAGAAAGAACACCCCAAGAGACCAATCCATGGCTTAGACTGTGAACGAGGTGAAGTCAGTGGAAGCCGGCTATGGGGCTTTATCAAGGAACAGAGTAAATCTCCAGACAAATTTTTCCACAGTTGCTTTATTCATAACTATTGCCCTCTGGTTTTTATGTCATCAAGTGGAAAGAATATAACCCCACCTCAACTACCAAAGCGAGAAAGACAGCAACTCTTGGAAATTTGTGACAATTTCCTGGCAGAGTTTGTTAAACTTTCTGGGGTAAAGATAGTTGTTGGGGTAGGAAAGTTTGCAGAGGAAAGAGCTCACAAAGCTTTAAAAGACTTCAACGTTGAAATTTATTCAATAATGCATCCTAGTCCCGCCAGCCCAGCTGCAAATGCTTGCTGGAGTGACATTGCTTTGAAGCAGTTAACAGATGTGGGATTAACCAGTTACATAAGAAATGAAAAGTTGTAATAAAGGGCCGTGAGTATTTTGCCGATTGTTAAATCAGTCAGCTGCCTTAGATTGGATTAATGATAGTGCGTAATTTGCCAACAAGAGTTTTACTGTTGGTGAGATGTGGAAAAAATACAGACTAGTTTTTCAAACAGTCATAATTTGTTGAAAGTACAATATACAGGTCTAGTGGGAGCGGGCAGTCAGCTTGCAATGAACTGCATAAAGCACTCACAGTATGGATTCATCATCTTTTGCCTACTAAGCAGGCAACTATACTGTATGGATTGTATGAAAGTTTATGAGACTCACACCAAGGTTCTAGCCAGGAAAATAAGTGATGTAATATATCAAACATGAGATGCAGTGTTTCATCACCAGATGAAACACCAAGAAGAGAGTTGAAAATACGACGCGCAGCGGAGTATTTTTGACGAACTTTGAGGTGTTTCATCTGGTGATGAAACACTGTGTCGAATGTTTGATATTTCTTCTCAAACAAAATCATTTTTGAAGGAGAAATTAAGGATGCAAATACTAAGCAGTGTTTCATCCGATTTCCAAACACTCATTAAACATTAATTTCCTTTGTATTTTCTTAATGAATTATTAATGAGTTTGAGAAATCTCAATCCAGCAGTTAAAAAGACAAAAACAAATTCTTCGAAAGACCTGGCATCCACAGGAAGACCATTATGGGCCAATTTGGGTACCCACACATTGTAGCATGAGACGTGTGGTAAGAGAGTAAGCAGATATTCTTTCAGCTTGTCACACAATCCTTCATTGGGAAGGATTGTGTGACAAGCCAAAGGAGTATATGCTTGGGAGGCTTTGGAGTGAAACAACACCCCCTTGCCTCACTTTGACAATGTGGTTATCCACTTTATCACTACAGTCTGACAGGATGGATTACCTTATGTCATTGCAGTGGAAAATAAAGCACAGCTACTTCACATTATAAGAACTTTATTTTCTTTTTAACTATTACATATTTTGTTTGATGTCTGGAATGAAATGCTGAATTTATATTTTGTAAAAAAAGAATTAAATATGTGATGAAATGATTGAAAGAAAAATGAAAACTATAAAAATGAGTTATGAGGTTGCAAGTAAAAACTTGTTAAAACTAAACAACATTTTGATTATTATTATTACATTATTTTTATTATGCTATGCAACGTTTGTGTCCTACTTGAAAAGGATATAAATCTAACTTATATATTATATAAAATCTAGGCATTTTGTTGATTTGGAGGTGTGCCAAGTGATTTATTACTGTTAGAGGCCTTTAGATTTGAGGAGAGAATAACTACCGACTATGTGATTTGATTTAAAGTTTTTAGTACTTTTTACCAGAAAAATTAGCACTGTTACCTTTATCAGAAGAAGTTAAGCCTTCTCCCAATTGCAAAATGATAGAACTTCTAACATTCTTACCACTATGATATTCTTGCTAAACTTACAGTAGAGTGATGATGGCTACCACATTTTCTTGCAAAAATGATGCTGGCTCATGCACAAACACCACTTAGTATTAAGAAAATCTTGTACCCCTACTCAACCTCATTTTAGAATCTAAAGCTTTCTATATCAATCAATGAGTACTTTACACACCAGAAGAGGCACTCATGTAAAATCCAAAATATCCGAGAGTTTGAGAGATGAGATGTGTCAGTTTTGGAGTCACTTCAAGACTTCCCAAAAAATTAATAATAGCCAGTTCACTTCTTTTAAATTAATAAATTTTGATTTCTCTGTAAATTGAAATTGAAGCTTAACAATTCTCACATTAATTTTGAGATGCCAGGATGTTTAAGACCATAGTAGTGAACATTGACAATAATATTTTTTTAGTCTTCCTTACAGTAACATAACTTTGCTTCCAAGAACAATTGCAAAACAACTGCAGTGTGCAAAGAAAGTCGTGTCCGATAGCCCGGGGCTAGTCGATTTTGCTATTGGGCAAGTGATTTTTTGTTCTTAACTTGCCCCATGGGCAAGTGCTTTTTTTGGGGAAAATTCAAATTACAAAAGGGCTAATCAATCCTGCCACTCAAAAAGGGTTTTGGGGCCAGTTGAAATGACTTGTGGGCTAGTACATGCTAGCTACAGCTTGCCCGAATGGCAGGCTGTGAAACTGACTTTCTTTGCACCCTGAACTGTACAGGAGACTGAATCTGTAGCAAAGAAAACTGTGACAAAGGTGAATTAGCACTGGCGGCCATCTTGATTTTCAGTTGTACCGAGTCTGACCTGGGGAAGAGTATCACTAGAGCTATAATCCCCAACGCCCGCCCCCTTGGTACATCTAAAAATCAAGATGGCTGCCATTAACGGTAAGACGCCCTCGATCTCGACGATCACACGGAAAAATAGGGGACTGTGAACAGTCTATGAGCTTGTAAATAATGTACTTCATGAGTGTATTCCACAATACTAGAGCGATCAACCATCATATTCATGGCAAACAGCAGACTTCTATTTCTTGTTCATTTATTTCCAACAGCTCACATTTAATTTGCTGTAGACATCTTCTTTTTCACTAAGAAGTTCTAATTTCTTAGTGATAATTTATCCATCTGGGTGCAAGTGAAATTGATAAGCAAACCGAAATGAAAATCAACAGGAAAGCCGGAAAAATGAAAGTGGATGTTTGCCATAAGGTGATGACGTTTAACCTCTCTACTGTCTTATTATCAGTAAATTATTGAACTTGTCGTACACTGCACATAATCAACAACTCAGATGTTGTGACAACATCTCACTTGGGGAAAATAACGTTTTTCCTTATATTACTAATCTTTTTACTAGTAAGAGGGACTCGTAATAATATTATATATGGCACAAATGTCTGTCAATTTTCCACATATTAATATTAGATTGTGTCTTATATCACTGAACCTTTTTCTTTTTTTTAACTTTGTACAACCAAATAGATTTTCATGTGAACTGGCCTTTAGATTCCATTGATATTTTGTGCCTATAATCTTGGCTCTCGTAAAAATGTAATTTTTGAGTCCAATTCTGCATATAAAAAGTCATTCATAGTCTATATTATCATAATTTCACTTATCATTTTTCATACATTAAACAACTACCTAACTTTATCTATCAATACATCTTTAATAGCAACAAGGTTCCCAAGGAGATGACTTAACAGTACAAGGAGAATACTAAATGTTTCAACATCTTACTTCTTTTTTGCCAAAGAATGATCAGTGTATTAGGAACAAAGAGAATTTGCAGTTTAACACTGCAAATAAATAAAAGAGTGAATTAACCCATTCGCCCCTCAACCACCCAAGTGGATTCACATCCCTTCATCCACTTGGGATGTCATCCACCTTAATTCTCAAGGACAATTACTTTGTCATCTAACTTGAGCAGGGTGAAGAGATCTTTCAAACCATACCAGAATAAGCACAATTCAGTCAAGGAGGACACAGAAAGAGGCAAAAACCATGTAATGTTGACCCAAAAATTTCCTTGAAAATCTTGTACTAAGTTGAAATTTTGAGTTCTATACATGCCCGAACTTCAAAAGCTCAAATTTTGCTTCTGGATCAGGAGCGGCAACCAAAAAACAGCTTTGCGGTAAGTTTTAGCTCTTTATAGCCAAACAGTGACCAGGCAATGGCTAGAATAGCTTCAAACCGCATTTTTCGAAAAATTCCCAGAAGCGAATGGGTTAAAGAAATTATCATTACATGACCGGCTAAACAGTCAGGCAATATGAAGCAAGCAAGCCATGTGCTCCGATTACCTACCCGAGTAAGCGAAATGGACCTTGGCTATCTCACCAGCTTGGAACTTTGTTACCCCAAGTTCTGTTCAGTAGCCGCTTAGCCATAACACACCGAACTCATTAATGACCAAGCTTGTTCAGATCAGGCATACTGACCTCATGATTGGCCCATGATTATTATTATACCTTGACCAGTGCTATTATTCATCCATTATTCATGTCATGAGTCCTCGACACACTTAATAGCTCGTACCTCCACAGGTACTGGTGCATCCACCATGAGCTTCACTCCAAACCATTTACTTTGAACCTAAATACAAAGACAATTTTTTATTCTAAATAAAGTTTGGGAAAATTGAACCAAAGAAACTAAAGGTGAAGTTTTTTCAAGTACTGTTTACAAGTCTCCTTCGTGTTACTGCAACATGTTAAGTAACAAAAAGCAGTTATAAACAACAGTTACTTCACAGGGGGGGGGGGGGGGGAGACCCCCCCAGGGGGGGTTTCCCCAGGGGGGTCCCCCCCTTTATAATACCCAAAAAAAATTTTATACAATTGTTTTGGAAAAGCACACTGAAAATCACTTTAAATTAAAAAAAACAACTTATAAACATAAAAAAATTTTTACGAATAATAAAATATAGAAAGAAAAAAAGGAGTCGTAACAAAAGTTGAGTGCGTCGGGGGGGGGGGGGGGGGGGGACTCCCTCCTGGATGGAGTCTACCAGAGGGTCTCTCCCCTTATATTACTGCATGAGAAATTTCTGCAATTTGATTGGCTAAGAGCAGTGGTAATCCAGCTTAATTTGAAACACCTACATGTGAAAATTACAAAACTTTTGCAGGTAGTAGTACAAACAAATAATAGCACATAAATAATAATATTTCGCAGAAATACCACTCGTAATATTTCAAAATTGTCTCAAATTTCACTCGCCTAAATTATGTATAACAATTTCAAAATATCACTTGTGGTATTTATGCCAAATATCACTAAAAATCATGCCATTACCTATACAAAATGCATGTCTGTTAATAGGCCATTTCCGAGTTCCAAAAACTCTCACTTTCAAAATGAGGCCGAGTGCAAAACCTTTGTTGTGAAAACGATTTTTACTTGCATGAGGAAAAAATCATTTCCTTATCAATGGCTTCGGCCTTAGCCTTGCTTTGAAACAGAGGCTTGAGACAACTCAGAAATGGGCTATTGCCATCACTTTGAGAAGGTTTCAAGAAACACTTCTCTTGCCATAACCCACAATCATGCAAA